TCTTCGCTTCCCGCACCGATTGGCCGATGTAGGTAGCTTTGAGAGAACATCTCGGAACCTCACTTTCCTCAGCAGTTCACCCTCAAAGCAGACAGTCCTACTTCGTATAATGTAATTCCCCAGTCCGTCCCGCCAAGCCATCATCCTAGGTAATTTTCCACTGGCCCCAATAGTTGCCATCGATATTAAGTTGGCCTAGTTTGTCAGATTGAAAGTTCTGCATAGTGACCTTCTGACCGCTCACAGTCCAATTCTCGATCTCAAGATCCATCGTCACACCTGACTGCTTTGGAACAATACTCTGACCGATCCCGATGGCGTTTGTCTGCAATCCGTCGGGAAACGCAACATTCTTGATGACAAAGTTCTTGTAGCTTTGCAATGGGGTAATCCGCAATAGACCTGGGCATGGTCCTTCGCAGACGATGTTGGAAATTGTAGCACTGATTGATTTGCTCGGGTCAGCTGATTTGCCATCCATGTAGAATGGTGATGCGCCAATGATTGCTGATGGCACAACCGTTTCGGACTTGTAGTAGCGGGTGTGAATGACGTTGAGCGTATCAATCTTGATGTTGTCAAGATTCCTGGTGTCCCAGCCCATTTGAATGATGGGATCATTATGACATTTCCATACAGTGGCGCGAGAAACTGACACACCAGAGTAGTACATCTTGATCCCGTCATCATTGACATGATAGAAGATGTCGTGGACTACACTGTTGGGGTAGATTGCCGGCCCATCGGTCTGGAAGAAGTAAGCTCCCACTTGTTTATAGTCGACAATCTCAGAGGTTATATCAGAGTTCCCGTTGAAATCCATCGTGTTGAAAGGTGGAGCTGCTACCGTTGGACCCTGGCAAGTCCACTTTTGTCCTTGGTTGATGCTGTTGTGCCACCACATTCTCAAGCCATACTGGTCACTCTTCTCGGCAACGTAACCTTTGGCCGTGTTGGCCTGGTAGACGTAGTGCTCACCAGAAAGCACGCCAAACCCGGTAGTGTAAAAGTCTTGCTTGGTCGAGTATTCAATGGCACCCTTCACATACGCTCCGGGGGCAAAATACACCCAGTATGTTTTGGGTGACAGACGAATGTGATTCGAGCCCAGCTTGCCGGACTTGCCCTTCTGATCTTGGTTCATGTAGTAGACTCCAGGCGGGAAGTACAAAATTGGCTTGGTACCCCAGTCGCCGTCGTTGATAGGACCGGGCTTCATCGTTTGTGTGTTGCTTGACGACATACGAGGCTTCTTATTTGAAGGTAGAGGCGGGCTGGCGAAGATTGCAAGAGCGTTGCGCGGCTCTCTGCCGACGACACTGCCACCTGAGGTAACGTACTGATTCCCATCAGAGCGGAACGTGTACAGGTCCGAGTTGAACTCAACCGACATCCGTCGTCCGTTGTTGTCCTTTGGAACACGGATAATAAGACCACCGTCCCTGGATTGAGAGAGTTTGTATGAGATTGAAACAGGACGTATGATGACGTCGTTGGCCCTGAGGGCAGTCCCGTCTCTACGCTTAATCTTGACATCAACATCTTGACTGTATTCGAACTGCGACCAGGCCATATTGAGTCCGATCTTTGGTTCAATAGTGATACCATCGTCAACGTCGGTTCCTAGAGTGTTGCTGTTTGGTGCATCTGTTGGTGCATAGATGCGACCGTTGCCGTTTCGAGGGATGGCTTCGTAGACGAAAGAATCATAAAAATTGTTGGCACCTGCAGCGCTGACTTGCACGGTGTACTGATGTGACTGACGGACGTTGCCCGGCTTCACAGGAGAGTCTGTGTTGATCTCCCCTTCGGAGTGCCACCACGTGCAGAAGTCGGAGCCGCAATGGGCTCTGTTGTCATACGCATTGTGGTTGGAAGGGGCTGCCCCGACCAAGGAGATGAAGAGACCTGCGAAAACCGCAAGGCCCCGCATTGTGTGTTTACAAAGATGCGAAATGATGGATTGAAGATGTGCGGTGGGCTTGTGTTGGCCAAGAAGATTTGCTACAACTGGCAGGAATAGTCCAATTATATATCCTATAATCAATGCCACCCACACAGATCACCAGCAGGCATCGCTAACCTGGCACTACTATACGAACACCGTAGTCCGTCAAAGACATGTCGGCATATGCCCGACACTACTTTTTACAATTCTGCACTTGTCCAAACTCTTTGCAGTAATAGGCCGCGACTAGAGGATCATAACCAGGTTTTTCTAGTTCCAGCTCAGGTGATTATGGGGTAAAATCGTGGAGAAGTGGGGCACGTATTAAGTTCGGTCCCCCATTCACCGCGACGGTAGTTCCAGTGTTCAGATTTAATTACTGCGGGGTTTGCGGGCATCAACCACCTTGGCCTTGGACGACTAGACGAAATCAGATCCGTGATCAGATCCAACTAGGTAATTGACCGGAGTGTCGGATAGGATCTCATGGCAGCCTACATCTTGTCAATTCTCTGAAGCTATGTCCACTCTTCGAGCCAAAGGCCCCAGGTTATTGTAGCGCCGGACTTCGACTTCATGTCCAATCTGACACTTCAATGATCCCTCTAACTTCTCGGCACCTGATACTGAGACAAAAAGGAAACATCTCGATGGCCGCTCCCTGATTAACCAGCGACAGGCATCTGCAGTTATTACCGAAGCCTCAAAACATGGCCATAGCTCTTCTGCCTTAAAATAGATATTTCTAGCGTGGTGCAGGAAGAAGATGCAAAAAGGGAAATGGGGGAGGCGTCAACCTCCTGGACTTAATTGCAGTTATTTATCAAGCTCATAGTCGCTGCTTGTGAGAAACGATTTCCAGAAGAAACAAGTTGGCTGGGCTTGAACACATATAATAGCTTATCTATATGCACTGTAGCTTATATTAGTTATTACTAACCGTTGATGCCCTTATTACCTTGTCCTGTCAATTTCGCCCCTTTACTTTTTTTGCATTCCTTATGCCTACCCCCCATCACTTAGTTGTTTGTTTTTGCGTTAGAGTAGGGTAGCTTGATTTACAACTTACTTAAACTAGCATAATTCTTGTATAAACATCTATGACGATTATATAAAGATGATATAATTAAAAAAAGCTTTAGTCTTTATAAAAAATTAATAATTATATATTAGTATTATACTCTCTATACTTATATGCCTAAAGATATAAATTCTAGCTTAAAAGCTAGAACTCTCTATAACTATTTCCGTGACATTATTAATAAGGACCGAATTAATGGCTTGTTTTATGTCTTATCTACACGTTGCATAAAGTTATACAGCTTTATACACTTTGATTGCCCAAGACACTTATACTAAAAATCTGATCTAAGCTCTTTATAGTCAAGCTTGCATTATATCGCGCCTCTTATTGGATGGCCCACGCTTAGACTCGGTCACTACCAGATCCAGACAGAGGCGCAGCCGACTGCGCCCCACTAGGCTGATAGCAGGGGGCACAGTACTCTCTCTCTGCATAAATGAGAGACGATGCAGCATCTGATCGCTATTTTCTATCATCCTGATATCGGTCAAAATGCCTCAGACAGGTCCTTCCATGTCCTCAGCACTGGGCATCCGCCTTGAAGGGAATCAAAATTCATATTCTCCAGGTGACACAATTATTGGCTGTGTTTACCGACAAAGTCCCATCGTGAGCCCAGACTCATCAGTCACCATCTCCTTATCTGGGAGAGCCAAGTCCAAGATAGTGATCCATCGCGCAGAAACAAACAACGCAGCTAGTTACCGAGGCCGTTTCAATCTCATCCCCGAGTCAGCTTGCTCCCAAAAGATCTTCCAAGGTCCGCTCCACATTGAAAGCGGCGGCGATGAGCAGACTTGGCCGTTTGCAATAACGCTGCCAAAGCATGTTGACCCGAAGGACTTGCAAGGCGGGCGCCAAGAACACAGCTATTTACCTCTCGGCGCAACAGATCATGTTCTACCATCGACCTATACACTTCGCGCGCTTGGAGAGACTGAGGGGTTTGTCGAGTACTTTGTGAAAGCTACCTTGAGGGTCACCGGAAAAGGTCATATTGATACGACTGAAGCTGTCCTTCCGTTCAATGTAATCAATCTCAGTCCTGACCCGCCCATAGCGGACTTTGGTCTTAAAGGTTCACGGAGCCGTCAGACCATGTCGAGCTATCGCCTTGTCCCCGGTATGGAAAACGTTAAGTTATCGTTTTCTCAAAAGATAAAGCAGTCTTTTAGCGCTTCAAGCGTACCGGAATTTGCCTACAATCTACTTGTTGACGTCCCAACCGTCATCCAACTTGAAAACCCAACTCCGATCCCTTTCAAGTTACGTGTTGTTCCAGATTTGAGTGCGACAAGCGAAATCCTAAAAGAAATCCCTCAAAAGGTCAAATTAATATCTGTGTCTATGCGAATCGTCAGCAGCACCGAGGTCATATGCGAAGGAACTCTGTTTTCCCAGACAAATGAAAAACGCGAGGAGATTGACCTGTGTGTTGAGAGTGCCCTAAACAGGATCCAGGACGACATCTACATCCCCTGTACAGATGAAGGGCCACCACTCGATATTGGAGCCATGCTTGGTTTACGTCTTGAACAGTTGCGACCTGGTACTCCTCATCGACCGAGCAATTTAGTGAAACTCAACCCTACCTTTGCCACATACAACATTCGGCTCTCGCACAGATTGACATGGAAGGTCATAGGTACAATAGCGGGAGAGCGCTTTAGTGCATTAGGGGCAGTCCCGATAAGGATCTTGATGCCAAGTGACGAGCGAGGGCGACTGGGTGAAAAAGACTCAGTTCAAAGGGACGGAACTGAGGCTGCATTTCACAGTGCTCCAGGCCCCTCCCAATTGCAGAGAAATGAGTCGTGGATCCAGCCCCCGGATGATGACGCACCCCCAAGCTTTACTGAAGTAGTCAGGGAAGAAGAAGGACTACGTGTAGCAGAGAAGTCTGGGAAATAGACAAGTTAGTATTTGTATATGGAGACACGATGTTACAACTTTAGTCTACTACTAGAATCAATGCCTACAATCTAAGCTGAATTTCCATTGCTTGTTGCTCAATGCCCCTAGAACCTCTTCCTGCTTGTTAGGTAGGATTACATGGACAGGTAGCTGCTTACCCTCCTCCATCTCCCTGCCCTCATTCTCCCATGACAAATTCAGAACCACTTCATTATTCTGGTCCTTCTGCCAGGAGACACGAGCCAGTATCGGCTGTTGCCAAGTACCACTCACTGGAACTCTGGCCTCGAAAGCCTTGAATAGGCCTACCCGCGGCTTAAAGACGAGCACCCTCTCGCCGTTGATCATGGCGAGTTTGAACCCCACAACCTCGACGGTATACTCATACAGAGGAAGGCTGCCCCATGCGTGACAATCCGATCTTTGCGTGATATGGTCTTCCACCCAAGTTGTCAAGTGGAGTTCAAGTTGCTTTCGCCAGGGTGCCCAGAAACTGAGGAATTGGGCTTCGTATGCCCCATGGCCGACGATGGATAAAGCCCTCAAGCTATAAAACGCCATTGCTATAGATACCTGTGCGAACTTGTGCGTACGCTCATCTTCCACTTTAGTTTGCAATCCCAGAGAGCGATTTAAGAGGTCAAAGGCGTCTTTCCCAGTTACCGCGCCACAAAGGACTGCCCAAATTTGACAATGTTCACTGTAGTGGGTATGGTTTGCCAACGTGGTGAGTCCATCCGTGAAATAGGTACCGTCGAAGCAGTGGCTTCTGACAGCTTGGACGATCAGCTCAGCTTGATGTTTGTGTTCATCTGCGCCTGACGTCCTGCCCAGGCACAATTCGAGCGAACTGAGCCTCTGTAGAGTGTATGCGAACAACTGATTTGTATAAGTCAGGTAACCAGTATCCTTTGCAGCGGGCGGAACTCCGAATGGCTTATATGAATCACTCCAGTCAACAAATTCCCAGTCGCCAGCTAATTGAGAAATGCGCAGCAGGCCAGTTTCTTTGTCGAGACGACTACCAAAGGTGTTGAGAATGGCATCAACGATGGGTAGGAAGCCAGAGACAAATTCTCTATCTCCAAACTGCTCGTAATGGTCTGTAAGCATGCATACCCAGAAAAGAGAGAAATGGGAAATGGTCTGCAGATGGTGGCAGGGAGCACGGCTTGCTGTCAACCCAATCTTTGGCTGAAAAGAGTTGTAAAATTGTAAGATTGCTTGGCGTGCGAGTCGATCATCCCGGGAGATGGCGTAGGTGAAGAGTGCTGAGCTTCTTGTATCCATGGCGTACTGTAGTTGCTCGTAAAACGGACAGTCTTCGTAGCAGTCGTGCATACAATTCTCCAATGTGCGTAAGCTCACCTCCCAGAGCTTGTGAAACCACGATGAATCTTCATCCTGAATCTCGACTATGGGGAAAGTGGCCAACACCTCCAGGGGGTAATTTGTTCTGACGAGATTGATACCATCAAAAATAAGGTCTGAGTCTTGAGCAACATCAATATCTATGGCAAGGTATCGAAATGTCCTAAAGTGAAAAGGACTGAAAGTTTCATCGTTGGCTCCTGCAATGCCATATTGAACCAAGTCTTGATCTGACTGGGTCCCTCCAAAGATGTACTGGTCTTTCGGTCCCATAATAGACTTTGATGTGTCGGATCTGTCTCCTTTCTTTCGTTCAAAGGGTAGCTTAGCAGATTGCTCCTCATAGCCCTCGGACCATGTGATGTTCAGCTTGCTACCACCAGTTGACGGCCTGGCGAAACGAAAGTCAACGAAGGCTGTAACGTGGTACGGCACCTCGAGCTCGACATGGTGTACCGTGCCTTTGGTCAGGAAAATACCTGCCTTATGCTTCAGGGTCGGGTTGAGAAGGCGTTCCCAAATGTCCTGGGGTTGTGAACTTCTGATGTTATGGATGGCTGTGAGATGGAGTTCCACTAGCTGAGAGAATGGAATCATTCGAGGACGTAGATTCCAAGGTACAGAGAGACCCCAATTCACCATGAACTGATATGGCTTTGCCGCAACCCAAGTGAGCGTGTGAGATTTACGCTGGTCAACCCTTTCAAAGACATGGAGGAAGAAATCGAAGTTCTCACTGACAGGAAGAGCTCTGCAAGTATCAAGCGCTGTTTCCCATGTATCATCTGTTTGAATGTCCAATGGTCGCTGTTCTTGGTTGCCCTTGGTTGAGTCATGCCTAATGTAAAACCCTGGAAATGGGGTCCTGGGAAAGCTTGAGGCATTTTGTGACCCATGATAGAACCGAAGAACATGAACCAGAATATGGTTGTGGCCAGCGACGAGGAATTGTTGAATGTCTAGGACATCGTAGAACCATGTCTGATCGTCTCCTTTAACAGGACCGGTATGAACCACCGACTTGTTAATGTAGAGCTTGTATCTCGTATCGGCTGTAATCGTAATCTCAACAGGACCTTGAGGGATATCTCGTAAGTAAATGGACTTGCGGAAGTAAACGAATTCACCGGCAGAGGACGATTCTGGCTTCTCGGTCCAATGGGGGTGCCAAATCCAGGAGCTCTCAAAATCGACAGTCATACTGGGGATACCTTTCGATGGTCTCAAAACTCAAAGGTAGCAATTTGCATATGAGCAGAGAGCATCGATGAGGTGTAGAAACAACTAATTAATACATGATTCTAGTCACATAAAAACCCATTAAAGCTACCGAAGCTGTCGTGTTACGAGTAAAGTCTAGGCTTAATGTACTTCGGATTATAATGCACCGAAAGATCTAATCACAAGACAACGGATCAGACCGAGGTAAGGATACCCGGTATGGAATGGGTTAGCTCTTGAGATGTGAGCTAAGGACAAGCCATATGAGCTATTATATCGGTAAAAGTCTGGAAGGAAGCATTCATCAACAAAGGCAAGGGACGATTTTGACAATCGGGGAACAGCCCCGACTCCCCCTCACTTATGTGGACCCAGGCCCCCTCATTATTTCTTGGCTCGAAATACAACGCGTCTTCTACCCTAACGATTAGCGGAAGTAACCACCGAGACACAATGCCTAATTGATTAATATCTAACTGGAGTGATAATTCCATCTGCAGTTTGTAGTGGCTTTCTGCTATGTTCTTGCGCTTATGCTGCTTCTGTGCTTTAAGTATTACTGTAATAGGGTTGAGGGGTCAAAAGAGGCTTCAGCCTGAAGGCCACAAAGGTAAAGAACACCAAAAAAAACACATACGGGCAAAGTTAAAGTATTACTAATATAAGATAAATACTGTTTAATAGTAGATAAATTCTTGCAGAAAATTTAAATAATCAATTACGGGAAATAAGACTTATAAATAAAGTCCTGCTTTAATAAAAAAGACTCCTTAATGGAGACTAGCTCTCCTGTTTTTAACTTGCATATTGAAATAGCTTTCTTAGATAGAACCCTGGCACTGATATTTACGGAATTGGCGAGTCTTGACCTTGTTCTCAAACATCTCATCCAGTTCCAGATAGGTGCGATTCTTCATCTCAGGCAGATCGAACCAGAAAACCACCCAGGCAATAACAGACAGAGCAGCAAAAATGAGACCAGTCTTGCCACCAAGATTGCCCTCGTCCGAGTTGAAGATGTAAGGGACACAAAAGTTGAAAACCCAGGACATGAAACTGTTGCAGATGAAACCGACGGCGTTGGCTTTGGCACGGAGTCTGACAGAAGAGGTTTCAGAAGCAATAATGGGAATTACTGGCCCGGAACCAATGTTGAAAAAGACCATGACGAGGTTGATCATAACACCCATATACCATAGTGCGGCTTGAGTTGAGAAAAAGCCAGCGATACCAACAGAGAGCCAGGTTGCTGCCAGGAGTGCTGTGCAGCCCATGATGGTACGTCTGCGGCCCAGATAATCGACGAGAAACCAGGAAATCATGATAGCACCTAGGGACAGACCAGAGGCGATCTCAAGGACCATGATAGATTTTTCTGGGGAGAGGCCGGCGATAATCATGAAGTAGGTACCGTTTGCGACAAAGGTGGTACCATGGAACTGCTGAACAATGCTAGCAAAGATGATGATGCGCATCCGACGAAAGTTGGGGCCCTTGAAGCATTCCGACCAGGTGACGTCGGCTGCGTCAGCCTGCTCTTGTTTCTCGTGCTCAAGGGTTGACTGGAGGGCAACCATGGCAGCCTCGACCTGGGAAGGCTTGTACAGCCAACTAAAAGACTTGCGGGCGCCGGCCTCGTCGTTCTTTCGGAGCAGCCATGCCGGGGACTCCGGGACGATCAGGGCCGAAATGAAGGCCGTGCCAGCGAGGGCCCACTGGGTGGCGAAGCAGATGCGATAGGACATTCTTTGAAGGCCATCCGGGATCTGGCTACCAGCAACAACAGCGGCGATCAGCTGGCCAAAGACGAGCTGGAACTGGAACAAAGACAGGGCGAAACCTCGGAGCTTGACGGGGACTATCTCAGAATTGTACGTCATGCAAGTGGTAGCCATCATGCTCAAGCCCATACCAATGACAATCTTGCCGGCCAGGAACGTACCACGGCGATGGTTCATGGAATCGCTCAAGTCGCAGGTATACACGACCGCGATACCGGCCACAGTGATGATAGATCCAGTCATCATAGAAACCTTTCGGCCGAATCGATCGGCGACCCAGCCGACAATGACGGAGCCAATCATAAACCCAATCTGCATCGAGGCATTCCACAGAGACAGCCAGATGGATGGCAGAATGGGCATTCCATCTCGAAGCTCACCGAATCTCTCCCTGTTTTGGTTAATTAGAATATTTCCACTGAGATGCATTGTAAAAGGGGAACCTACAGAAAGGCTGGGAAGGCTGTGACAACGCCAACGATGATGATATCGAAGCCAAAGGCCATGGGGCCAGTTGCCATGAGGATGCTGAAGACAACAGACTTGTAGTTCTGTTTGAGGGACTGCAGCAAGATGAGAGAGGTGGCATCGTGCTCATTAACAGTCAAGGAGACGTCCTTTTTTTCCTTCTCTACCATCTCGACGCTGGGCTTGGTGTCGTTCTCCATTCTGTCAGTTGTTGGTGATGGATGCTGGGCTATTGATGTCTGATGAACAGGAGATCGGAGAAATGGTCATGGTGATATATAAGTATACATATTGCTTGAACGTTATATATAGAGACTGAGTTACAAGTAGTCGCTGCTTCAGATCGATTGGATTCTGGGAAATGAGTTGCTGCAGAATGCGGGGTTTGACTTTCGGCTAGACGCGATCGAAGCCCCTTGTTGCGGGGTCCGGGGTCCGGGGTTGGTCTAGCCCGGAACGACTCAAGACTGCCCATAAATGTCGGGGCTCACCCCCGATAATTTCACTTACCCCCTTGGTCTCTCTCTCCATCATCCAAACTAGTTTCGCTGCATGTTCCACCGAGTGGCACTTGACAATGACAGAAGAACGAGCATCAAAGCGAACCAAGTCAACCAATGGCATGGCCTCGTCGGGCGATGAGCTCCCACCGCCTGGCACTAGTTCCCGTACAGGACTTGCTTGTGAGGCCTGTAGACTGAGGAAGACTCGCTGCGTCGGCTTTCCCACCTGCACGTGGTGCCAGCGCCGCCGCCAGTCTTGCGTACGAGGCCAAAATAGTCAGACGAGCCCGTAGGTGGACCTCCTCATGACTTTACCGAAATCTAGCTAACGATCCCTTGCCATCTAGACTGGACGATTGGGGCAACCAAATACTCGGTGCTATATCCAGGGCCAGAGACGAAATTCTCGGTGCATCAGCCAGAGTCAATGCTGATCAGCCGCTTACCCAAACCTCGGTTACGCTGTCGGATGACGAACACGGTACTTGGCCTCGTACCACCCACGAAAGCCAGGGATGCTTCCCATGCATGTCGAGCGCTGAAAACATTCTACAGTGGGAAGTTCTGCGGAATCAGCTTCCGAGCTCTGCCCAATTCTCTTTCAACCCCACAGACTCGCACGAACCTGACAGGTCCACCAACTCCAAGGCTAGTGCCGATACCTCGTCCACCAAACTCCGAGCTCTGCAGCAACGCTTCGAGACTCAGTTCCTGGTTCGGTATCCCATTATCAACAGACCTTGGCTTACTCGGTACTTCCGTAATGTGGTGGAAAGCGACGGAGATTGGAGCGCTGAAGCATGTCTCGTCTTTCTGGCTTGTGCTATCGCATCCTTGTGCGGCTTCTCCTCTCACGATGTCTTGACGCCTCACACCACCTCCATGAGTCCAGCATCTGCTATCTCGGATTCATGCATGCCTAATTCACGCCGACCTGCATATCAGTATTGGACTATGGCAAAGCGGAGGCTTGGTTGGGCCCTTGACGAACCTGCGGGTCTGCTCACCACCCAATGTCTGTGCCTAGCTGGGTTCTGGCATCTGCTAAATTTCGCGCCACGAAGGGCTCGCAACATGTTCTATCGGGCTAATGACAGTATGAGGGACATGAACTTTTCAAGCTTGCCGGATACTGAGAGGCCTCTGGCACGATTCATTCATGTCCTCTTTGCCGACATGCTCGAGTAGGTCTCCAACTTTATTACCCACTGCATCATGATGCGTGATGGTGATACTGACCTATGTGCTATAGGCGTCTGAATTTCGAATCGGAGCTTTTTCTATATAACGACCAGAAAAAACTGTCTAACAAAACCCTCTCACCAAACCAAAGCCATGATCTTTCTCCTGTCATCAGTCTTCTAACGAATGACTTAACTGGAGGCTCATATTTCGACCTCACCGACAATCTCCAGCAATTACACCAAACTCGAAAAGACATCAACAAACTCCTGGTTACGATATCATCAATCTCCAGCTGGCTTGATCTGCATTCGTTGCATGATGAAGCAAAGGACTTGCGACGGCGTGTCAACCAACCCGCACAGCCGAGCGGCATCATGTGTGAGGGAGCTTTAGGTTCAACTGGACTTGATCATTCATTCGGGGAGAAGATCCTCGAGGATGTAAGCATTCAGAAAAAAGAGCTCACAGCGCGCTTACTCCGCGTTTATTTGTGCCTGAATCTGCACCTTTCCCCTCCCCTTCTACAGAAACTGCATTCCAACGCCCATGTTTCACCAGTCCAGTCACCCCAACATATCATACAAGAGATAGGAAGCCTTGCAAATGAGTGCCTCTCGCTGACAGCTGAGGTATTGACCTTGCATCTCAAGCAGTGGCAAGACAGAGTGTCTCTGTCGAGCCGTAGTGTCACACCCAGCAGTCCAACCTGTCACGACCCTGAAGCATTGTTCTCGTACCACTTCTCGTACCTAGGCTGCCTGACATTCCTGGCAGTATACTACGCCAAAACGAAAGCAGCCCGTGGCGAGATGGAATTTGCCCATTGCCATTCACTGGCGCTGCCTGCAGATTGGCGTCACTTGGTTGCTGGTCACACGAGAATGTTAATATCGGATGACGAAGGGACTGATATATGGAGATGGGGATATCTGCTTAGCCAATTTGATGTGAAATGATGAAATTGTTTCTCCTCTATCAACAGTCCATGGCTGAAACGTCACTCTCACCACCAGTTTCAATCGATCATGATTCCAACCGTACAATCCACTCAAGATACAGCCTCGCATCTGCACTCTCAGCACCCCAATACGTGAGTGCAATCTTGAACTTCTGCATTCCGGGCTCCCAGGCTGGAAGACAGTCTAGACCCGGTATGCCACTTTTTGCTGCGGCTATGATCTCCAACGCCGCACACGAACAGTAGCGAATACCGAGCCAGGTCCCAGGATGGCGATGTGTAGTTAGGCCGTGGGTTATAAGATATCTATCGATCCGCAGAGCTCTGTTTGCAAGCTCGTTCGCCTGGGCTCGCAGTTGCGCAGATAGTCCGTCGAGGTCGCCATGAAGAATGAAGTGGAGGGCAGGCCTGCTCAGTGTGTGGCGAATGATGATTAATCGGAGCCTCAAATATTCTCGCAGATCATCGGGGGAATGGCCAGACTCGTCCGTCTCAATAGTAATAGAATCCGGAAGATTCACAAAATGGAGCATGATCTGGTTATCTAAATCTGCCAAGGTGTTGAGAATGTCTTTGTAAAATGACTCGCGGTCCTGGTTGACTGGTTGATGCTGCTCTGCCTGTTGAGTCGCGAAGAATGACTCAATTCGGATTTCCAGCTTCCGAAGCGAGATGTCTGTCAAGTAGTACATCCAGCTCTGCTCGTGTTGTGCAACCGATGAATCGGAACTGCCGTCTGTGCCGGAAGAAGATGGCCATGAAGGTTCTAGATCTGGCAAAAGTGATGACATGTTCTCATACTGGATGAGCTGAGCGTTTGCAATCTCAAGCCCCAATTCAGAGGCTACCTCTCTATTAGAGACATCATTAGCATGGGAGGATTGGTGATAGGCTATTCAAGGACAAACCTCTCTGTCTTGAGACAACTCCAAAAGAGTTTACGATGTGCATTATCTGGCTTCTTGCTTGTGTTAACCAAAGCCGCCTGGATCACGGCCGGTCTACCTAGGCTCTTGGTCAATACATCTTTGCACATGATACTTGCGTTGTTCAAGCATCTCCATGAGGCGAGCGGTTTGAACGTTGTGATGTAGTATCCAGCAGCTAGAAAGAAACACTGTGCACCGACAATGCTGGCGTGGCCCATGATGAAACCAAGTCTTCTAAGGCCAGCGTCGAAGTACTCGCGGCTACGCAGGTACTGTTGCGTATCTATTGACAGCTTGGAGTACTCCTCCAACTTGCTGTGGTCATATGGCGTGCAGATACTTCCTAGTGCACAAGCCATTAACTATTCTTGCAGTCAGCTAAGATTTAATGCCTTGCAACTATTAAGGCTCTTCAGAATCGCAGTTACCAGCAAACATGTAGGTGCATCCCAGCCAAGCCCTTCCTCTTCCACTACGGATATCTGGTTATAGAGAAGCCCGAGGTCGACCAGGGGCTGCTTGGCATGGATGTGTTTGATGAACTGTTCGAGAAGCTGCGTCATTTCGGCTCGATCATCGATTCCTCCGCGAGAAGAGGGGAGATGAGCCGGCAGACGAACGGAAGCATAGTGAGGATCCGCATTCAACCTTACAGCTTCAAAGTCGTCGTGCATGTCAATAACCGAGGTCAGAGGGGACTCCAAGAGGTGGTAGGGGCGAAGGCTTGGCCATGCTAGTGTAGACTCAACCGACGAGGACCACCACGACCGAGATGGTGGGGAAGTCATGGATGGCTTGGAACCTAATCGGCGATAGAATGCTAGCGTTTGAGTTGGCAGTCAAGTCTTGGTTACATCAGCTGATCCTTGGGAGAAAGAGGATGGCCTGGTTCAAAGTAGTAGCGATAACGCCTATAGTCAGCTGAGGGGCTCATGTTTAATACCCATGAACTAGGCCAGACTGACCTCGCAAGTAATTTACCTAGCCTAACTAGTACTAGAGGTTTAATCGTTACTCGGGCTATTTACAAGCGAGTGGCAAAACATCGGGGAATATCCCCCAGTTCGTCATCACTACCCTAGACCATAAAAGTTCATTCTGTCCCTCGGAGCCCAACAAGCGTTTTGAGAGTAGGAATCGAAACGAATTAAGACATAATGGCTGATATGAAGGTCATTAACTTACGTATTGAGCATTATAGGGAGTTTGCAGTTATCAACGAGAAGAAGCCACGTATCTCTTGGTCATTTGAAGGTCTGGAAAGACAGTGGTCACAAAAATCTTACGAGATCTCATCGCAACGTGGTCAATCCAGCAAGATCGAAATCATCTCCGTCGTATCCTCACAGTCACTTTATGTACCATGGCCATTCCAACAACTCGAATCGCGAGAAATTACAACACTCAAAGTTCGGGCACAGTCACAAGACTTGATATGGACGTCATGGTCGGCTCCTCTGCAGATCGAGATTGGACTACTCAAAACCACTGACTGGCACTGCGCCTTGATCCAACCATCGGTTGACCGGGATTTATCCAAGCCTGTTCAGCCAGTGCGATTTCGAAAAGAATTTCACATCAACGAAACGCCACAGCAGGCACGTTTATACATCACTGCACACGGTCTCTATGAAAGCTTCATCAACGGGGCCAGGATTGGAGACCACGTGCTCGCGCCTGGGTGGACGTCTTACGACCATCAATTGCCATACCAGACTTTTGACGTCCTAGCACTGCTAAAGAAAGGGGAGAATATCGTCGCAGCGGAGGTTGCTGAGGGCTGGTATTGCGGCAGGTTGGGCTTTGCAGGTGGTGAGAGGAAAATTTGGGGTTCTTCAGTCGGCTTGTTTGCTCAAATTATCATCACATACGAGGGAAGAACAGAGGTTATCGGAACAGACAGCAGTTGGAAATGGAGCCATGGCCCCTTACTTCAGGCCGAGATCTACGATGGTGAATTGTACGATTCTAGGTTGGAATGCCCTGGATGGAATGAGCCGTCATTCCTGGATAAGGACTGGCAGAGCGTTCGTCTTGGTCAACTCAATGTCTCAACCTTACAAGTACCATCTGGCAGTCCACCTGTCAGACGAATACAAACCATCCCTGCGCAAACGAAGTCACAGAGTCCTCAAGGAAGCATCATCCTTGACTTTGGACAGAACCTCGTTGGCTGGGTACGATGCGAACTTACTGGGCCCAAGGGCCATATCGTTCGTCTCATACATGCTGAGGTCTTGGACAATGGCGAGTGTGCCACTGCGCCACTTCGAGAGGCCAAGTGTACCGACACAGTCATTTTGTCGGGTGAGCCTCTGGTTTATGAGCCTCGTTTTACCTTTCACGGGTTTCGCTACGTGCAAATAATAGGCTACGACTTTGACCAAGTCTACCTGAACAATTTCCGCGCCGTAGTCATCCATACCGACATGCCCCGAACTGGGTGGTTTGAGTGCTCGGATGACATGTTGAACAAGCTACATGAGAATGTAGTTTGGTCCATGAGGGGAAATTTCATTTCAGTTCCGACGGACTGTCCTCAGAGAGATGAGCGTCTTGGATGGACTGGAGACCTACAAGCGTTTGCTCCTACTGCAGCCTATCTCTATGACACTGGAGGCATCCTTAAAACCTGGCTCCAAGGCCTGACTTTCGAGCAGACCGAAGATGGGAAGGGTATCCCACCGCTGTTCTCTCCTAATATTTGGAAAGGGCGTCCAAACATCCCATCGGCTATTTGGGGAGATGCACTCATCAGTGTACCATGGGATCTGTACCAATCTTCCGGCGACACAGCGTTTCTTGCAGATCTCTGTGATAACATGAATGAGTGGTTGACCAAGGGTGTCAAGCGAGATGAGGATGGCCTATTGTGGGATCCCAATCACTCTCAACTTGGTGACTGGCTTGAACCTGCTGCACCGGCTGACGATCCGGGTAATGGACCGACGGATGAGATTTTAGTTTCAAATTCTTTTCTCATCCGTATGACAGATATCATGGCCCGAATCTCCGACATCTTAGGTCGTAAGAGGGATTGTGAGTTGTGGACAAAGCAAGCGGCCGATTTGCGTGCGCGTTTTGCTCAAATTTACATCACTGACGAGGGAAGAGTCGTGTCAGATACCCAGACAGCCCTAGCACTAGCCATTCACTTCTCACTTTTTCCGACCCCCAAGCAGCAAGAAGCAGCAGCAGCGCGACTAGTCTATCTCATCAAACGCAATGCACGCTTCAAGATTGCCACAGGCTTCGCAGGGACACCTATTCTCGGCCACGCGCTCAACAAGATCAACCAACACCAACTCTTTTACAGAATGCTCATGCACAGAAAACCGCCATCCTGGCTCTATCCAGTCACTATGGGCTCTACAACCATCTGGGAAAGATGGGATAGCATGCTTCCGGATGGTACACTCAACTCATCCAACATGACGAGCTTCAATCACTATGCATTGGGAGCTGTCGCAAACTGGATGCATACCACGATTGCCGGTATACAACCGCTGGAGCCTGGTTGGAAGAGAATAAGGATCGCTCCCGTGCCAGGAGGGACAATCACGTCGTCCCACGCCCGATTTACCAGTCCTTTTGGTGAGGTAGACGTCAGTTGGGAGCTGAGAGGTGATGAAATACATCTGTCGGCGACGATCCCTGGGAATACGGAAGCAGAGGTCACACTGCCTGGTGGAGAGCTGGAGGTCGTAGGGTCTGGAAGACACGTCTTCTCTGGTGCTTACACCAAGCCTGACTGGCCGCCGCTTCCCATCTATCCTCCGTTCGTTCCGCATGAAGATGATGAGCCTTGAGCGTTTTGCAAAGGTTAACTTTATAGGCCGCAGTCATCCCCATAGATGTAAATAGGCTGTTTCATTCGTATATACTTGTTTTATCTTGTTCCCACCTATCAAGCTTACTCTTGAAGTTCAATCTGTATCCAGTCGCTAAGATGACGGCGATTAAAGCGTCCCGGTCTCTTTGAGCTTCTCTTGCATGTTGTCACACTATCATTTCCCTGGACCTTCCATCCCGTTGCTCATACGGCACTCGGGGAGTCGGGTAAAATGGTGGCCCGATGGCGGGAGACTACTGTAAACAAGCTAAACACGCTAAAAAAAAGTAGCCCCTAGCGTCCCCGATGGTGATGGATTAACCAGAGTGGAGATGCATTTCCCGCCCAGGTATCCCAACTCCGTCTGTGGCTGTTGCATCTTAAAAGAGTAGAAAATGCCTGTAAAGTTTCGACGCAAGCAGTCAATAGTTTGTCACCAACAAAGCTTTCCCATAATGATCATCAATGGTTTCCATCCCCAGGAGTTTGAGCACCCTCAACTCGGTCCAATTACTGGAAGAAAGCGAAACGAGCATGTTGTCCAGTTTCGTAGCATCCCATACGGTCATGTTGCTGCACGTTTCCGACATGCCACATTGATCAGCGAGCTACCACCAAAACGGCGCTCGTTCACGGAATACGGCCATGCCTGTCCTCAAACCGAACAAGGCATGGAGCCGTTTGGTGGTCCGATTCCAGGAGACGAAAAGCGAGAATATGATGAATTTTCTTGCCTCAACCTAACTATCACGGCACCAGTGTCGGTTTTGAAGTCTGGGAGTACCAAAAAAGTACCCGTCATGGTATATGTCCACGGCGGAGGCTTTACAGTTGGTGCGCACTACGGTGGCCCTAATGGTAACTCGCTTACTGTCCTATTCAGTTTTACAAGATGTCAATTTAACATGAACCTGGCAGATACAACAAGAATGGTGACGCAAGCATGCGAGGACTCGAGACCCATTATCGTAGTTAGCATTCAGTGAACACATCCCCCACCTTATCGTGTATAATCGGTGATTACTGACTAGTTCAAGCTATCGACTTCACTTCCTAGGATTTCTGGCCTGCCAAGCAAGTAGAACCCTATATTGGACATATGCTAGAATCACTCTGACATTCTCTAGGACCTCGTCGACGAAGCTGCAAGCCTCAACGAGGATCCCTGCAATTTTGCACTATACGACCAACGTCTGGCCTTCCAATGGGTTCAAAAGTTCATTTCGGGTTTTGGGGGTGACATCAACAGGATCACCGCGTTCGGCGAAAGCGCTGGCAGTTCCTCACTCGCCTTCCATTTGAGCTCTAACGTCCCCCTCTTCGATCGAGCCATTCTACAATCCGGAACTGCATCGGCAATCAGTCCCAAACCCCTCGCGAACAAGGAAGAAGAATATCAGGCACTACTTGACTTCTGTGGAATCAGTGTAGATGATCCTCAGCGCCTCGAAAAGCTCAGAGCTGTGCCAACTGACAAGATTGTTGAGGCAGCCTCGTCTATCAACAAGGCAGCCTTTTCACCACTGGCCGACAAGAGCTTCTTTCCAGTTATTCCCAATTATCTCAACCATGCAAAGATAGTATCCGATTGCTCTTGGGTCGATGCTATCATCACGGGTGACGCAGTTTTTGAGGTCAGTGAAACGAGTGTCTTCCATTTATCATGATTCTGACAAAGCATAGGGCTATCTGTTTGCGCACAACCTCATGGCAGTGCGGCCTGAGGTCTTTTATCAGCACGTGGAAGGTGCTCTTGGAACATACAATGCCAAGAGAGTGTTGGAGATTTATGAAATATCCAGAACCATGGATCAAAACTTGTTCTGGACCAGGTTATGCACATTGTGTGGTGATGTTATGTTTTCCTGTAAGACAATCTCCCATGCAGTCTATCAATTTCAGCGACGCTAACTGAGACGCAAAAAGTACCCTGCCACATACTATCAAAGGAACTATGGCAGAGTGGCAAGAAACAACATCGTTGTATCCTCTCGCTGCGCAATCCTTTCCCCGGGTCCTTCTTCTCTGGCGTCCTTGGCCATCATTTCATTGAACTCGTCTACCAATTCATGACCTTCATGGAGCGCTTACCTCTCCAGAGACAGCGCGATGTCTGCGTCGGTTTTGTCCGGCGATGGACGGCCTTTGCCTATGGTGAAGAGCCATGGTCTCAGTATACATGGGTAGATGAGACGGTGGCGGTGGCAGATTCCCGGGAGGGCTGGGTCGTGCGATCACGAGTGAAGGACTTGGAGGTTTCTGTATATGACGAGGGCGGCCAGCGCCGCTATGAGAAGTGGGAAGCATTAGATGAGCTGTTTCAATCACTAGGGCAGAAGGCGCCGGCAGCCGTTGAGGCTCTGAGTTTCCCGACATTAGTAGCTTTGGGAAACAAGTGAGCAAATCTCGATGTTACTTAGGCACATGGAGATTACGGAGTAGGATCAGTGAGTAGAGAAATGTAAGAGAGTGAGTAAAGTTTACGCTGCGACTAAATAAATAACATGCTGGCAGTAGATCTTCCTTTCTTGCCTTGGACTAAAGCCAAGACCATTGACTTGCTGAAATCAGGGACGCTGATTTCCTCTGGTTGGGACCTCTGCGCTTCCTTCGTCTTGACCTGTACCACCCATTTCCCATTGGCAATCTTGACGTCTTTCAACTCCTCCCCATCAACATAGACGTGCAACTCACGCAATTCGTCCTTATCAACTGTACCGAAGATTACCAATTGCCTCTCTCCATCTATAATCGACGCCTTGGCATCCATAGTGAGTTGAGGTGGTGCTGACCCGATGGCCTTACTCTCTAGTCCGCCCATAATGGTATCTGTCACCAGCTGTGGAGTTCTCAATGGCTGCTGACGAAGAAAACTGCCCTTTTCAAAGGCATATGCATATCGAAACAAGTTCTTGTCATTATAAGCCTTTGATGCGAAGGTGAGATTGACGGGCATTCTCGTATCAGCCATGACACCCATTGGCACGCTGACAGTCGGTATGCCAAACTGGCGAATAGCGCAATTTCCGTTCGAATACAGAACACCATTGAGCCATGCATGCTTTGCAGACTCCTCGTTGATATCTGCATCAGCTTTGCCCACATCGGCATTACAAGGCCACACAAGCATGTCCAACTTCAAAGCATCAAGCCAGTCTTCAAAAGCCGACTTGCGCTTTGACTCAAGGTTCTGAAGTGCTGTTACAAGATTGGGGATCTCGTAAGTCGGGACTCGGCCATTAGTGATGTGGGCAACAACAGCTGTATGCCGAACAAGAGGATCGTTGGCGTCGTATCTATCTTGTAGGCATCCAGGAGGATGAGGGAATATGGCCGATGACTCGACTTGAGCAAGACTTGTTGCCACTTTGGAATCTTGATTCGCTGCCAGGAAGTCGTCCCAAGAATAGGCCATCAACTGGCACATATCGATCTCATTGCGATGAGGTGGTGTTTCCGATCTGGTCTCACCACAGACCGGTTTCTCAAATTCGGTGACGAGTGGAAAGTTGGTCTCAATAACAGTAGCGCCTAGTCCCTCAAGGATGGTCTTGGCCTGTTTCCAAAGGTCGATAACACTGTCGCGAGTATGAACCTTGCGTGCATCCGGGTCAGAGTCGACGCCGCCAATGTACATCTTTGGAACACCAATCCTCTTGCCCTTGAGAGCGTGGGGATCAGAAAGATCAAAGAACGTTTTTGGTCGCACGGAATTGACATCGGGGAGCTTGACGAAAGGTTGTTCCCGCCAAAAGTCGCAGCTTGTCTTGTCATCAACAGCAACGATGACATCCAGAAGCGCAAACATGTCTTCCACAGTTCTTGTGTGAGGCACTACAGTGTCGCAGGTGGGGAAAAGGGGCCAGTTGCCTCTAATTGAGATGAGTCCTCTGGATGGAGTGTATGCTACCAAACCATTATTGGAAGCAGGTGAACGGCCAGATGAGATGGTCTCCTCTCCCATGCCAAAGACACCAAAACTTGCTGCAGTCGCTGTGGCAGATCCATTGGACGATCCCGAAGCAAAAGCAGCCGTGAGATAGGCTCCATTGTACGGTGACTCAGCACGACCATAAACGCCTCGTTGCATGCCACCAGCAGCCATTGGAGGCATGTTGGTACGACCCAAGAACACAGCCCCAGCGTCTCTCAGCTTCTCAACAGTAAACGCGTCTTCATTTGCGACGAGGTCTTTGAAAGCAGGAGACCCAGCAGCTACAGTCATACCTCTGATCTTGTAAGAGTCTTTGATCGTGCAGGGAATTCCATCCAGCAAACCCAGTGTCTTGCCCATGGAGCGACGCTGATCTGATGCTTGTGCAGCATCAAACACATCTTGATTGATGACTGGGACAGCGTTGAGCTGAGTGGTTCGGCGATCATACTTGGCGATTCTCAGCAAGTGCTTGGCGGTCAGTTCAACGCTGTTGATATGGCCTTGAGACAATGCAGATGCAAGGGATGCTATTGAAGCCTCTACAATAGAGAGTGTCTGCAGGGTCAGAATATGTGTGACCATTTTGACATGTGATGGCAATACGGCTTACAGGATTCTCGTTGTCGATTGCCATGTTGGGCAGGAGTTGATTCTTTTGGGGCTGTTTCTGGCTGATGTAGAAGAAGCTTTAGGCTTACATTGATTCATAGCAGATGGTTTAAGTACTAAAGCAATTTGTCTTTAGGACGTAGCCATGCTACAGTGCGCGAGGATTATAACTGCTAATTATAACATGCAGCTGTTAAATATCGCACTCAAGTTAAGATTACAGGTAAATGTTATATAAATTAGCAGCTGATGAATTATTTACCAGCTGGTAATTTGATTTAGCAGGATAAGACGGTTTATCATACTCTCAATCAGATAAGCTCTTATCGCGCACTTCTGATTCGCTGGCCGGGTTGCACACTGGCCGTAACGGTCTTATCGTTGACAATAGGAAGCACGTCCACATTCGATATAAGCCTAGGACCGCCATTACAATCACGTCAATGTCTCGATATTCTAACAGCTCAATTACCTTGCACGTCTCCCACGATGACAGAATCTTCAATCTACCATGATGATGTTCCTGGCACCGTTCGTCTCGTTGACATCAACGGGATGAACTCTTCAGGGCCACACGACTCTCAGCACAAAGACATTGTCCTCGTTCCTCGCCCAAGCTCCGATCCCAATGACCCCCTCAATTGGTCCCATCGTCGAAAGCTTTTGGCAGTCAGCATGGCTTATCTTTACGTCCTGGGAACAGGTATAGCAACCTCACTTCAATACTCTGTCCTAGCAGATATCACCAAGGATACCGGCATTTCTACTGCAAATCTCGTCCAGGGAACCGGAGTCATGTTTCTCTTCTTTGGTTGGGCTTGTCTGATCTGGCAACCGATCGCTCTTACATTCGGACGACGTGGGGTATATCTTACCACCATGTTGCTTACGGTTCCGATAATGGTTTGGACTGCCTACTCGACATCTGCTGGAGAATGGTTTGCCCACAGGATCTTGATTGGTATCATCGTATCTCCAATCGAGTCTCTGTGTGAGGCCACCGTATTTGATCTATTCTTCGCCCATAACCGTGGGACTTACATGAGTCTCTACGTGGCCATTCTCTTTGGGTCCAACTTCCTTGCCCCTCTCGTCGCAGGATGGTTCAACGATGCTTTTGGATGGAGATGGACGATGCATTTTGGAGCAATTATATGCGCAATCTGCTTCCTCATCATGTTCTTCTTCATGGAAGAAACGATGTACTTCCGAGGAGCCTCACTCGAGAGTCAAACAGCTACCGATACCGAACACCAAGACTTAAGGACGTCCAAGGCCGAAGGAAAAGCAGATGAAGCATCGCCAAGAAACTCCCTACCGTCTTCCCCATCGATCATATACCGTGATATCAACTCCGGTTGGGGAAAGTACACTTGGTTCAAGGTAATGACAGGGCGACCCAGCAACACGGACATGCTACGAATGGTATACCGGCCTGTCCTCATGATCTTCCAGTTCCCAACAGTTGCGTGGGCTGGATTTCTCTACGGAATCAATCTCGCTTGGTACAATGTTCTGAATGGAACTGCCAGCCCCGTTCTGTCAAGCAACCCGTACAATTGGAACGCAGCGCTGGTTGGTTGTGTATATGCAGGACCGATCATTGGAGCAGCCGTTGCTTGTCTCTGGGTTGGAAAGGCAGCAGACTGGATCGCACTGTGGCTAGCGCGACGCAACGGAGGGATTAGAGAGCCCGAGCAGCGACTTTGGGTACTGCTTCTCTCAGGCATTATTTCATCGGCAGGTCTCATCACCTGGGGTGTTGGTGCATACTACCACGTCCACTGGATCGGCCTCGTGTTTGGGCTAGGTATGCTTACGGTTGGGTGTGTTGCCGGGGGTGCAATTGCTGTCAGTTACAATGTCGATTGCTTCAAAGAGATCGCCGGTGAAACCACTGTCTCTATCATGTTGGTTCGCAATACGATCGGCTTTGGCTTTAGTTATGCTATCACGCCATGGTGGACAACCCAGGGATTGAAGAACTGCTTCATCACGGCAGCAATGATTTCACTCGCGTGTACACTTACCTTCCTCACCATAATCGTTTACGGGAAGCGAATTCGACGGTGGTCTATCCCATCCTACCGGAAGTACATGGCTAGCATGGCAGTCTCGCACGAATGAGGGATGGAACGAGAGCCATAGAGAATTCTTCCAAGCTAGGGAGAAAGGAAGATGTTGCGCGATGACAGTTCATTTCGTATCTACCCAGTTTATATAATACATTTTGCCAGCTTTCGCAATTGCTCTCTTGCCTCAGTCGCCGTAGGAATATCCTGTTCCAAGTTCTTCACAATGTCCTCCAGATATGTAACCAGTCGCCCGACAGCAAATTGAGATTGGTTCTCGTCATAAAGAAATGCATTATACACCATATGGCCAACACCAAGCAATTGGTGAACGATCTGACTGCTTGCAACCTTGAACATGATGAGGGAAGCTTCGGTGATCTCATTGAGAAATTCTTCTGCCACTTTGATCACCTCATCAACTGGGGCTTGACAATGAAGCAGGCCCATGATATTTACCAGTGCCTCAGTGCAAGTTATCTGAACTGCCATAAATTTGCATCGATTGCTCTGAAGGTCGTCATGTGATTGCGAAAGGACACGGAGTATAAAAGGTTTGCTGGCTTTTAGTTGATCCAGGCTATCGAGCAATGCTCTTGGGGACGGTCGGTCGCAGAACACGGCAACGACATCCCTGTGAGGCTTCCGCTGACGAAGATTAAGTATCGCATACTCCATCAATCGGAAAAGATCGGTGATGTAATCCCACCCAGCCGTCCAGGCCTGCGTCTCACGACTCATAGCAGGTGTGATACGAGGATAAAGCACTGAGACCTGGGCC